TGTCCCAGTGCTGCACACCCCAGACTCGGCCAGCCCTGTCCCAGTGCTGCACACCCCAGACTCGGCCAGCCCTGTCCCAGTGCTGCACACCCCAGACTCGTCACCGCAGAGGCTCCTCCTGCAAGCTACAACATCTGTGGTGCACAGGCAGCAGAGCTGGTAAAGCAGAGCCGTGCAGACACAGCCCGCGCTGGCGAGACAGTCCCACACCAGGAGGGAATACTGAGCATAAGCCCTCCCAACCTCTGCATTTTCACTCCACTGACTGAACACATTGCAATTACACCACCCCAAGACCTCCATCGGTCCCAGATGGTGGGGACACACAACAGCATGGGAGAAATCACACCAGAGCAGCCGGGTCGACAGACCCGATCCCAGCCATCCTGATTCCCAGAATGGATCCATGCTGGGAAAAACAATTCAAAGGCGGCACTGAAACAGACCTGAGCAGAAACTTACAGGAAACAAAACGTGGTTCTAAATCTGTGAATGCCTTCTGGACCATCAAAAAGCACCTTACACCCCCGAACAGGACGTGCTGAGGGTTTCACTCCCAGCGATTTACGGAGCTGTTGGTCCATACGCCTGCAGGCAGCACAGAACTGCACCACACCAGAGACTCAAACACTGCACGAGGGAGCCAGGGAGGAGGGAGAGGCAGGATCAGCCATCTCCACTGACAGTCTCAAACAGAATTTTAAGGTGCTTCCCAAAAGCACAGAGTAAAAACACTGCCAGAGCAGAGTCTCTTCACAGAGAAGTCTGCACGTGCATCAGCATTCCCAGGGTGTCAGCCACGACACCAGACACAGCTCCTGACACCCTGGCTCTGGAGAGCAGTGATGGGATCACTCTGCTCCCTTACTGCTGATGGAGGCTCATCCCCACAAACATCAGCCGGCCGAAATCCAAAGAAAGGCTCAGATCTGCTCTAATGCCCATTAGGCTGCAATTCAACCACAGCCCCCCAAAATACCTTTTTGAGCAACACAAACAGTGGATAGGTACCATCAGAATTTGCCCCAGCCAAAGGCTCTCTGAGGGAAGTGGCTGATGAAGACTAACGAGAAGGGCTGAGCTGATCTCACTCTGAGGCATTACTGACTCTCCAAAGTGAAGCTGAAGCAAGTAATCAATGTCCAGCACTTCTGAACACCGGAGGGAAATGATGTGTGAGAGGGACTAAGGAAAATGGGAAGAAAGTGAGGAAGAGACGACATTTTACTGTGGAAAAGCCCATTGTGATCAGTCCTCAGCATCCTTTATTCTAGTTAGAAAGTATGAGGTGTACTGGCTCTCTTCATTTGCACCATAAATGCAGCAACTCTTCCAGTTTCCGGATAAATTTTAATTGCATTACATGCTATTAATTTCACTCACACTCACAGAGGACATCTACAATTTCTTTTGTGCTACCATTAACCACTTTCGCAAACATTAAACAAGCAAACACAAACACTAACTTCCCTCCAGCTGCAAACACAACTGAATTTTACCTGTACTTTCCCCCAGACTCACTCCTGGTACCCTACCCACCTGCAGCTTCATGCTGCAACCCCAAATTCCAGGCCTTCCCTGCTTCCAAGCAAATGACCTGTACTCCCATATCCATCTCATCAAATATTTGAGACATACCAAACCTTCATGGAAATCCAACTGTTTTAGTTAAGCAAACAGAAAATCTCCCCAAATCATACAGATTAAAATTCACCTGAATCCAAAAGTAGCAGCTGAAGTTCACTCAGCCTGGATCTCTATGATCATCTGAATATCTGCTCCCTGTGTCACCACTGCTGGTAAGGATGTTTTGTGGTTAATTTGGAACTTCTAGAATAAGGAGACTGCATGAAGCAAATGTTCCTAGAAGATCCAAATGCTCTGGAAACCTGGAGTTTATAAATGACCACATCCTGTGGGAGGAGGAGGAGGAAGGGGACTGTCTCTCCTGTTTTCCTTTGCACTCCCAGGTGAGCTGCAGCCCCTGCCCAGCCCAGCCCGAGCCCCCGAGCACTGCACATACCTGGATGTATCGCAAGGCACTCCTGAGGACACTGAGGTTTGAGGTCTTCTTGTCATCTACGTTGGGGATGTTGCGCTTTAAAGTCTCAAAGCACTCTTTCAAATGTGCACGTCTAAAGAAAACACAGGTGGGTCGTCAGCTCGTGGGACACACACCAGAAACCAATTCCACATAGGGGAGAGCCTAACTGGGGCCTTAATCCAGCAAAGCACCTGCACCTGTGCATAGCAGACCCCCAGCCCAGCCCAGCCCAGCCACCACAGGGCTGTGTGCCTGGATTCTATTCCAGCTTTGTTAGGAACACTGTGCAGCCTTAAATGAAACATCCCATCTCCCTGTGCTTCCACTGTCACCATATTTCTGATTTAGCTAGTCAGGCTTGTAAGAGTTTTGGGTCAGGAACTGGTTTTCCTCTTGTATTCACACTGTGCACTGACCCTGATTTTGGTTCACTGCTTTAAAGGAGTCACACTGTTATGCACACGGGGGTTTGCTTTGCGGGATGAGGGCTTTGCAGGTGATGGGACGCAGTGGTGCAGTTAAACAGAACATACTGGGAAGCCAGAAATGCAGAACTGAGCTGTAAGAAAGCAAAGCAACGCTGCAAGATTCAGTAAAAGCCACTAAGAATTTTGTTCAGGTTCTTTGTTTAAAAACAAACAAACAACAAACAAAACCCCGCCAAAGCCAAACAAATATTGACAGACTATAGGCCAAAAAAAGAACGTGAATTACAATTAAAAAAACCAAACCCCTGGCTTTCTACGCACCTGTTCTTCTCCAATTTATTATGTACTTCCCTGGTCCCAACCCTGTAACCCAAACAGAACAAAGATCAGCTCAGTGTCAGGTTGAAAACTCCTGCATTGCACCTGTGCTTGCAGCAGTGTGTGTGTGCCAAGGAGATACAGGTCAAGATTCAAAAGCAACAGAGGTGTTCAGATATCACTGGTGTAACATTAGGCACATATATAGTTCTGCCTATGCTGTTTCAAGATAAACTACATACTTTACACGTGCATTAGATGGACACATTGTGCATATAATGCACACTAGGTACAAACAGGTGTAACCTACACCTACGCTCCAGTGGGACAAGGTTTATGCAGTTTTAAATTCAAATGTACAATACTGGGCAAACACTTCCAACTGCTTCAGGTTTTTACTGTGCCTGAAACAACAAAGCTGAGGATAAACATGGAATGAAGCAATCCAGGAATCCTCCAGTCACCACTCAAGGAAGAACCAGAGTGAGCTTCTGGTTTGGGGTTTGAGTTCATCCCCATCCTCCAAATCAGGAGTGTTTTTAGGAAAAGCTAAACAAATAAATGTTCTCAGTTTTTCAGCTACAGTGGTGTTTAGGTACATTAGCAGACGTGTAGATTTCAAGTATTTTCAATACACTGTGCAAAGTAATTATTTGCCTTTATCTGAAAATACAGGACATTGAGATAATCATAATCAATAAACTGTCAGGTATTTGAAAACAAACATTTGTCAGCATTTTCCCATGAAACATTTACAGGCTGAAAAAGACACCTTTTCTGTGCTTATGTCTAATGGAGTAGTTCTAGGGGGACACAGTGGTGAGCTGGGCTCCACACTGGGAGCACAGCCCTCCCAGCCTCCCAGAAGCAAAGCTCAGTGTGATGGCACAGGAGCAGTTTGTGGGTGCATCTGCAGCCACCCCTCTCAGACTCGTTCTGCCCTGGTACCCCCGTGCCAGCAGAAACTGGCTCCACAGCCATCTGAACCCACACAAGGGCAGTGACAGGGTTGTTTGATCAAAGCATAGGCTGATGGACCTTTCCCACAGCTGGGTGTTTTACACACAGGCTCTCAAGATCCCAGTTTTCCACAGAGAAATCACACTGGCATTTTACCAAAGCCTTTATCTTCACAAACTCTTATCTGCATTACTTACATTGTTTCCTTCTATGCATTTTGGGATCTCTATATCCCAACGGACACTGTGAACCCTTTTTATGTCCACTACACGTTACATCTCCTCCAGCCCCCCTGGGACTTGCACACCATCTCCAACACCACTGCCAGGAGTCATCCCCCCGCTGCAGAACAGTCCCAGGCCCAGGCAGCACAGCCCAGGAGGGAAGACTGAACAGATCCAGGTCACTTATCCTGCAGGAAAACTAAAGGGCCAAGGGAAACAGGTAAAACTGCTGCAAAGAAGGGAATGGTTTGTTCTCCCATTCCACAAGCAGTAATACCAGACAGTATTGGGATGCTGTGGTCTGGAAACAGCCACCTACGGAGAAGGCAGAGTCACCACCAGCCAAAGTCCTCAGGAACAAGTCAGATAAACATTACCCTGGAACAACATCAGAGCCACAAGTCCTGTCTGAGGGTGAGGGCAGATTAAACAGCCTTCAGCCCCTTCCAGCTGCAGGATTCTGGGTGAGCAGGAGGCTCTCAGCACTTACAGCACTGAGAAACTGAAACAGCAGCTAAGATGATCCCTGTCCTGGGAATGACATCTCCCAGATCACATCCCAGTTTTCAACAAAGCTCCTGCAAGCAGCAGTGCCATGTGATTTCCCTGACCAGTACAAGCAGAGATCTTTTGTCAAACATAACACCAGATGCCACCTGAGATCAGACAGGCAGGGCTGGGACTTGCTTCCTAACACCGTTCTGGCTTGGAAAAAGAAGTCCTGGTACAGAATATTACAGTGTGGAGTCAGGGAGGAAAATAAAATCCCATCAAGTTGAAAACCCCTGCTCTCAGCAATCCAAACGGACATCAGATATCCACGGGTCTCGGTATTTCTGATCTGACAACGCTTTGGACAAGCAGGAGCTGCCCCAGAGTGATGCAGGTTTTGGTACCATCTTTGCCTGGTCCCTGTTGGACACCTCCACACACACAGTGCACTCACCCTCCAATTCTCTTCTTGAGCTCGATGGGTTTCAGGTCGTCTGCCGGGGCCAGCTTCAGGGCGCCGAGGGGCGCGGGCGCTGCCGGGTGCTGCAGGGGCTGGATGGGCTGTGGGACCACGTGGTGCTGGGAGATGGCCAGGACCGGCGCCGGGTAATGCTGGAGCTGCTTGGGGCTGCCCGACGGCGGGGTGGCAGCTTTCCCATCCGGCAGATGTGGGCCCGGCGGCCTCTGGATCACCGGAGCCACCGACGAGGATTCCTTGGGGACACTGGGAGTGCTTACGAGGGGCTGGTGGCGCTGCACGAGCGGCGGGGACAGGGCGGTTTGGGCCGCTTGCTGGGGGGAACTGGTGACAACAGGGATGGGAATGACTGAGATGGGGGCTGCCAGGGCGGGGGCGCGGGGGCACCGGGGCCGGGGGGGACACGGGCACCAGCAGTTCGCTTCGGGGCTCCTCCGGGGAGAGGGCACTGTTGGCCCGTGGCACGCTGGCCTTGCTGGCCTTCTTCTGCTCCTGCTCCCTCTCCAGGCGGAGCTTCTCATGCTTCTCATTCTCCTCTGAAAGAGAAACACTCACAGTGAGCACTGGTGCTTCCCTGACCTTCCCCAGCCGCAGCCTTGAACCAACACAAGGCAGGCTCCTTAAATTAAAATACCCCATGCTTTGTACTACCCTGAGTAAATCCCAGCTCAATGGACACTGCACTGATACAAACCTGCCAGGGCACCTCTTACTGCTGTGGCTTTTATTCAAGCTCCTAAACTTGGCTTTGATGTGTGTACGTTCCTATATGTTTTTATAACACCATACAAAGTAAATGAAATCTGTGTGGCCTGACTAGCAAAATAAACCTCATCAAATGCGATCCGGGGCTCCGGCTTTAATTGCGTGAACATGGTACAAGGAAAATTTATTTATACAAGTCCTGTGGCGCCAGTGGCCCTGGCATCTAGACATCACACAGCCTTAATCAAATATCTCCAAACCCACTGTCCATGAGGCTCAGCAGATCCTGCTCCTGACAGCCGCAACTAAAAGTGCTGCACCAACCTCTTCAAAGTTATATACAAATATTTGGAAAATAAACCCTTACTTCATCAAGGAAGGATCATATGGTTGGGTGTCCTCTCATATAGTTGCCAGTATCAAGAGGAAGCTCCAAGAAACATCCCAACAGAGCCTGTTCCCAGGAGAAGCTTGGGCTCAACTGAAACACTGAAGCTGGGGTGTATATTTAGGAAATTTGATAGAAGAGAGCGTATCCTGCAACCTGGAATTACCAGGTTATGTTCAACCTCGCAGTGATCTTCAAGAAGAAGCTGCACTGAACACAACAAGCAGAACAAGGGGAAAAGGGCCCCCCCAGGCACAGAGCTGCCCAGCCCTCACCACGCCTGAGGGGCCCTGCCACTGCTGGGATAATTTCTTACCTGCCTTTTAATTTTGAGGGGTGCTAGTGCAAAAGCTACAGAGAGAATAAAGGGAACAAAACTCTTATTCCTGATTCTGAATGCCCTTTGGTACGTGTGACTGCACAGTGACACTGCCCCAGATTCAGTCGACGTGATTTCCTGAAGTTCAGCTGCAGCAACAGCCCAAACACGCCCCACTCACCTCAGGAGCCCATGAGCAGGGTCAGGCACCCATCTGACTGGGTAAACACTGTCCAGCAACCACATGGGGAGAAACCACCCCTGGACTGAGCTCCAGCACCAGGGCTGCAGCCCCAGTCCTTGACCCCACAGCACTTGGAAAGGCACCCATGAAACTCCATGATCAGGAAGGATTTCACATCCATACACCACTCCTCCCAGGGTTGCCCGAGACTCAAATCCAAAGTTTTAATTCAACTCCTGCAGCACAAGTAGAGGTAAGTGAGCAAAAGATCTGACTGACTCCAAAAGAGGAGGCAGGATGTTTAAGCAGCAGCTGAGGCTGAAAGCAGCATTGCTCTGTATTTTCTCAAAATATTTCAGGGTAATTATCAATATTTCCTTAAAGGAAGAAGCAAAGCAGTGCAGGGTGGCAAAAACCCCAGCAGGAATCTCCTGATGTAAACACAAATTTTAACTACCTACAATTTCTGAGTGGCTCAAATGAACAACATTAATAACCAATACAGAAAAGCCCTTTGTCTGCAGATCTTTTGCTCCACTTTGCTGCTGGTTCGCAGCCAGAGCCAACGCGCCGGCCCTGGCACAGGGCACACGAGGAAACCCAACCCTGGGGAGCTGCTGACTCACAGTGTTCCCTGCGCGTGTCCGGCCACGCTGCAGCTCCGGGGCAGCTCCGGGGCAGCTCCGGGCACCCGGCTGGGCACGGGGAGAGCGGCGGGGACTGAGTGGCACCAGCGCTCCGGGCACACGCCGGACCACAGACCACACAACTTCCACCCAGACTTCAAACTGCACCGGGATGGAGAGGAGGGAGCAGCAAGGGAGTCCGTTAATGGGAAGCCCTGGTGGGGTCTGGTGAGGGGAGTGGGACCTGCCTGGGCGGCACTGGTGGCTGGAGGTGACGCTGCCACAGCAGAGCAGAGGATCCAGCCAGGAGAGCCAAGGGCTGCGCTGGCAGCGCTGCCAGGCGGGAGCAGGAGTGGGCACGAAACTCCTACAACGGCAGTGTCCCTTCCTCGGGGATGCAGGAGAACAGGGAAGCAAGGTTAAAGCACGCCTTACTGATCAGAAATATTTATGTAAATGTCTCTGAAAGCAGGTGCAGCCCTCGGGCTGCTGACAAGCTGCCAGCAAGGCCTTTGGTGTTGCAAATCTTGAGCTCCCTTGAGCTAAAGAGTTTATTTCAAGGATTTTTTTTAGCCAAAATCTGACACCAGTGAGCCCCTGTCCTTTTGTGTCTGACTCATCCACAGGCAGAAAGGATCCACATTGCCAACCCCTCCCCAGTAAGAGGACTGGAGGGTCCCTGAGTCACCTCTTAGGATAGAAACCCTTCCATTGGGTGATAAAATCCTGTCTCCTGCTCACTTTGTACTCACACCTTGCATACAAACCAAAGACACCCTTTGAAAGAAACCCCCTCGAGCTCTATGTTTTCCCATATGAAGGAAGTTCACCCACGTTCAGTCCCAGGTACATGTCAGGGATGAGTGACCAGCACACCGTGTGCTCAGACACACGTGAGGTTCATTCCTTCCCATGCAGCGCACTCAGCACAGCAACTCCTGCAGGCCCAGACACAGAAAGAAGCCAAGGCTCAGGGCATCCCCTCGGGTTACGAGGACAGCTGAACCCAAAGGTGCACCCCAAAATTATGCATGATTTCCACTCATTCTTGACACTCTTATCAAGGGGACTGAGGATGAGACAAACCAAGTGAGCGAACCAGCTCTGAGAACCCTGCAGGGGTCTGAACCACAGGCCAGGCACGAAGGGACCAAGAATCCCACCCTGCCCACACCACTCTGTCTGCCATCATGCCCTCGTGCTGAGAGCAGGGACCTCAGTTCCCTGGCCATGCCACCCAGACAGCGACAGCAACACCAGCAGCCATGGGACAGAACAGTAAATCCTGCCCTAGGAGGACACAGAAACAGGGTCAGCACTTCTGACCGGTGGCCTGGTGCTATTTTAAGGCCCTGATGGTCCAGGAATACACAGTACCAAGGCACTCTTAACTTTGTTACCTAATAATCTGCTGCGTTTAAATATATCTCCTCCCTTTGGCCTGCCCTGGAAACACCACCCACCTGTCACAGCCAGGGCTGCAGACACAGAGAGCAGTGTGGGGCAGAGCCACACGTGCCCCACGCCCCAGGGCACAGCCTGAGCCTCCCGGGGCAGTGCTGGAGGAGCAGGCCTTAAGGAATGTCAGTGCCCTTTTAATGCTCCTATTTTTCACTAGGGACACTATCAGAACTCAGAATTTATCAAGGGTGTGTGCCTTTGCATAGCCAGTCATCCTACTTCTGTGCTCTGTGTGTGCTCAGTGGTCCCTCCCCAGCACATGGACATCCCTAACTCCAGAACAGGGAGCCAGTTCTGTGGTGTCATTTTCTGAATGATCTGAACTGTTTTTCTGAACCATTCAATGCTTCTGGGAGCTTATTCAGCACACCCTGAACAGCTACATCCCCAGAGAGGAGTGGCCTGGGTGTCACTGACACAGGATCTGGAGCAGGGTCACCCGCAGCAGTCGCCCCAGGTTCCTACCAGGAAAGTGCTGGGGACAGAAAGAATCTCCAGGTATTTCCTCCTCCCAGGGCCAGCCTGGAGGGGGATAGCCATGCCAAGAGGAAGGGCAGGCTGGAGCCTGAAGGTTGGTTTCTGTTTCTGCAGGTCCCTGGCTCTGCAGAGGAGAACCAGGAAAGGGAAGATAAGAACAGTCAGCAGAACTGGAGCTCAGCAAAGCTCAGCCTGAGCCAGGCAAGCTCTGAGTCATAGTGAATGCTGCTGACACCAGAGGCTGCAGCAACCAGCCACGGGTGCTTCCAGGCCCAGGAACATGCTGTAGGACTGAGACCCCTTTGAAATTGGGACCCCTTTCTCTGAGCCCCTCTGAATCCTGGATGACAACAGCACAACACAAGCCCCACTTTTCTCTACCATCTTTGCAAAAGTCTCACTGTTTGGTGTCCCTTTGCACCACTGCTTCCCCACCAGTAACGTGGCAGACCCCACAGGGCCCTGCTTCCCAAACCCCTCCAGGCCATGCCCACAGTGCCGGGTTGGCTGCCAGGCACCTGCTGACACTTCAAGCCTGATACCAAACCAAGCCTGATACCTCCTGGAATGCAGCAGGGAAAGACCCTCAAGAAATCTTGTAATTCATCTCCCAAGCCCCAAAGAGGAATCAACCATAACCAAATAAATACCTGGCAGATGTTTCTCACATTAGCAGCTTCTCCAGCCCCTATGGATAATTTACATTGTGCTTTAATATGCTGTTCCAGCACTTAACTGAAACCCTGAATCAGCTCCAGAGAATCATTTTAGCTGCATTTTAGTTATAACTAACTCTTAGTGGACAAAAGAAAGAAATAAAGCACCAGGATTTAGCTGCACTACAAAGGAAAAGAAACCAGATCAAAACTGCTAAAAAACCAAAACCATCATGGAGAGTCTTATCTGTACACAGACACCCCAGGGCCAGCAGGTCACCGAGGGGCCAAGCATGTCACGTGCTGTCGTGGCTGCAGCACCACACTTTGGTGGGCTGGAGGGATGCAAAATTCCTGTTAGGTACCACATATCTCCTGTCTGCAGGACTTGGGACGAAGTGCAGAAAAGCACTGGCTCTAACAGGTGGAATGGGCACGTGCTGACCGCTTCAGTGTCCAAGGAGCCTCCCCTGGGCAGCCAACCAGGTGAGCTGTCCTACACAAGATGGGCCTCAGTGCTTTTCCACCACGCCTTGGCATTCTTAAGAGACAGAAAGACAAGGTAGTGTGCTCTGATAAGCATGTATTTGTCAGCTGAACAGCTTCTGTATCACAGTTTAGAGCAAAAAGTTCACTGATGACAGGCAGCATCCAACCCACTCGCTCCCACGCACATGAGGACACTGCTGCCCCTGCTTCTGGCCCAGAGACAGGGGGACA